AAGAACCCTTCTGTAAGAAGAAATTCAAAACAATCAGAAACATTTGAATAGTTTGTAATGTATGTATGTAAGATATGTATTACATACATTATACGTATAAATATATAAAGACTTTACGGGAAATATCTCTAAAGAAACATTAGCAAATAATGTTTTGTTGTTTAGAGGAAGATTTTACAAGAAAGATAGATTCAAGGAGAAGAGCTGCCTTAACTTATTTTATTGTTTCTTTGCTAAAGGTATTTACTCAGGACATCAGAAGTAAAGCTTTAAAGTCAAATGTCGGGAGAAATTTAAATATATGTGAAAGCATGTGTTTAAACTTTAGAAGAATGTTGACAGAAATAAATCACTTTTAGAGAGAATTCCCAGGACCTAGTCCCTTTTAGGAAGGCTCTCCTGGTCCTTGCGCAAATACGCGGTCCTTTAAAGCACTAGCGCACGTAATTTATGGGTTTATGTCTGTGTGCCTCTGTTTATTTTTGGCATAAAAATCCTCGCTTATAAAAGGGGCAGTTAAGTATGGTACTACATAACTATGATCCCTTTTGCCTGACCTAAGAGTTTGTACTTAAGGAACATAAACTAAAGTCAAAGGTAATTCAATTAACATTCTGAACACACAAAGGTATGCTTGCTTCCCTTCTTTAGGGCACAAAGCAGTACTATTAAATTACAGTAGTCGTTACACCATGTGTACACATTCCTTAAAATTTCATGAATTGCAGGGCCGAGCTCTCGTTCGTGATGTTGGTCTGTCTCTGGAGAATCAACTGAAATAGACATTTTGCGTAGGGCCTAACTTTTTTTTTTTAAGTTCATTTATTTATTTTGAGAGAGCGCACACGCAAGTGAGGAGGGGCAGAGAGAGAGCGGGAGAGAGAGAATCCCAAGCGGGCCCCACGCCATCAGCACCGAGCCAGAGGTGAGGCTCAATGAGATCATGACCTCAGCCGAAATCCAGAGTCAGACACTTAACCAACTGAGCCCCCCAGGCGCCCGGGACCGTACTTTCAATAAAGAAAACTGCACCAAAGAGAGTACTGTGAGTCTCAGCTTAAACGCACTTCCCCAGGCCATCCCGGGTTTCAACTCCCTTCCTCTGCCCTCCTGAAGCCTCTGTAATTTCTCCTGTTGGAACAAGTGTCACACTTGATTGTGACTCCCTGTGTAGTCGTCCATTTCAGTAAATTACAAGCTCTGTGAGGGTAGGGACTGTGCGCGTCTTCTTTGCCTCAGAATCCTTGGATTCCAGCCCAGGATTATAATTTCAAATCATAAGGAATTCATCACAACTCTAATATTAGAGCAGTTTTCGAGCCAAGGTGCGAACCAACACTAACATACTAATATGCTGTGTGTCTCATGCAAGACATTGGCGTCTCTCAAGGAGAATTCCCCAGGGTGGTATATCCCAACAGGCTTTAACTAGTGAGAACAGTAAAAATGTTATACATTTCTCCTTGAACTAAGGGTACCAAGTGAAATTTCTTCTCTTGACTTTGAGTAAAACGCTGGTAACGACAGTTCCAAATACTTTTATGTTAGGCATGCTTTAGACCTGTTCATATGGAATTACACATAACTATGGTATGAACTGTGATATGAGAATCTGCACTTGTGTGGCATGGGGTGTGGCCTTGTTTCTCTTAACTGTTAACATGTTAGATGGCTTTTCATGTGTGTTTCTTATTTCTTTTTCTAATGCCTTATTTACAGGTTTTCCCCATGATTGAAAAATCTGGTTTAGTTTAGGCTAGAAAAATGTGATATAGAAGAAAAATTACATGTGCCTGTGTGTATTTGTATGTATGTATCTATGATGACGGATTAATGACTATTATGAACGATAAGAAAAATGGACCGTGTGGGAGTTCGTGAAGCAGAAGTTCATTCATGGCTTGATTGTGAAGGAAAGGTCATTGTCGGTTCAAATGAAATCTTTTCCCCCCAGCTTTATTGAGATATAATTGACATATAACATTGTGTAAGTTTAAGGTCAAATGAAATCTTGTCTTCATTGTAAATGTTAAAAATGAGTAGTGTTGAACAGACCCAGCCCCTGTTATGAAAATAGTAGAAATAAATGTAATTCTCCTTGCAGAAATAAAAAAAATATATTCATTTAATTGTGGCCACTGAGAAATTTGGCATGAAATCTCACATGAGAAATATAAACTTTAAAAATATATGTATGTACAGGGCGCCTGGGTGGCGCAGTCGGTTAAGCGTCCGACTTCAGCCAGGTCACGATCTCGCGGTCCGGGAGTTCGAGCCCCGCGTCAGGCTCTGGGCTGATGGCTCGGAGCCTGGAGCCTGTTTCCGATTCTGTGTCTCCCTCTCTCTCTCTGCCCCTCCCCCGTTCATGCTCTGTCTCTCTCTGTCCCAAAAATAAAAATAAACGTTGAAAAAAAAATATATGTATGTACAGAAATGATGATAGGTGAAATGGTAATAATCTGGGGTAAGAGAGGGGGTGGAAAAGTGGGCGGGGTGTGGAGGACATAAGGCCCTGAGTGGATAGCTGCTGAAACTCAGCGATGGGTACTCAGTGGCTCATTATATATTCCGACTTTTGCATATGTTTGAACGTTTCCATGTAACAATGTTTTTACAAAGAAAAAAAGAAATCCTATGTAGAAGTAGAAACATCCTTAAGCCGATGAAACTTAAGCTTGAGGACCCACCACTGAACGGGTCCCTCCCGGAACGGTGGGAATAGCCCTGTGGTGTTTTCAAATGTTTACGTGGTTTTATTTTGGAAAATTTGCAAAAATGAGATAATTGAACCACAGTGGGCTAGGACTGCTGTCTCTTCCCGTTTCAAAATCCCCTCCATTACACTTCCCTTCGTGGTGAAGGTGTCTGAGAGGCTGTGGGCTTTCGAGGGGTCTAGCTAAGAGAAAGTCGAGTTGAGGATGCAAATAGTCAACTTTCGATACCTTTACATACGGATGAAGGATACAGCTTTCAAACTCCCAGCAGAGACATGCGCTTTGGCCCCCGCCCCCATGGTTGTTGGTGGAAATACTGATTTACTATCAGCCTCTTCTGCGTACATTGGCACTGGTCCATTGTGCTGATGGAGGAGTGGCTTTCAGGAAGATTTCTTCTCTCCAGGCTGCTGACTCTGTATGGTGACTTGAGGCACAGGACCACAGATTGTATTGCAGTACGAGTGTGCCCCAGGGCACCTGGCACAAAAGTATGTAGGTAGGAGGGGAAAAACAAGGCTTGAAATGTGTGAAGCCAGAAGCCGGTCTATGAACAGTTTTCCCAACCAGCAGATGTGGAAAGTTACATGCTTCAGATTTGGTTCTCATTGGTGACTGGTTAAACTAGGAATCCTTCCCAGTCAGAAATATGCTCAGTAATGCTGCAAATATCATTATAAATGCATCACACTTTTTTGCATTTTTACAGACATCAAGAGAAGTATAGTTTATCAAAAGGTTGCGTTGATAGTTGCACAGACCTCTACTCCCAGAAGCATACACTTGAGTTTGACTCTATGTAGCTGCTTAAATATCCATTCATTGTATATTAGCTTGTCTAATGCAGTGTTTTCCCTGAAGTGGTGTGGGATTCCAAATCTGAAGAGGCACAAAACTGCCTCTGATGTAACAAAATGACCCAAAGCATGCCTGTG